CCATGCCACCAGGGCCGCCCTGGTTTCGCGGTTCATCTTGAACCACCTGGTGCTGGCCATTCCACTGAGGGTACTGGTGGTACTGTGGGCCTTCGTATTAGGCCTCTCCAGGGTCATGCTGGGACGGCACAATGTCACTGATGTGGCTTTTGGCTTTTTTCTAGGCTACTTGCAGTACAGCATCGTGGACTATTGCTGGCTCTCACCACAGAATGCTCCAGTCCTCTTTGTACTGTGGAACCAACAGTAACACCATCTCATTCATTACGGCACCAGGAGATCTGAAGATTTCCACATGCAATCATACCAACATAAACCAGCAGCCATCCTGCTTGTCCCTCTTAGGACATTTCAGGCTTCCTTTGAGATTTCAGGTGTTCTACCATCTTGATGGGTTGCTAGGCTGGAGCACATGCTGCCATTACTGATCACAGACATATTACAGAAAGCAAAAAACTCTATTATGTATTTATTAAACAACTGTTTATATCTCCAGGAAAACTGCAAAGAAATCGAGCTGGGGTGATTATATTGTTGCTGTTTTTTAAAACGTTGACATCAGTAAAATTGTGTTTTGTAGTAATCCTATAAGGCAACATATCACTTGTAAATTGAACTTTGAAAAAGAAACCTGATCTTCATTCTGTACATATACCTGCAGATAAGCCACGTACTAATCCTAGTTCATTTCCTACGGTAGATTTTAAACAATTTTTTAAGACTAAGACATTGGTCCTCTTAATCCTGATTTTCTTGGTAAGCTTTTTTAGTTTATTGTTTCTTCCATCTTTGTGGACTGGGGTGATAAGAGATTATGGTGCATATCTTTCCCTCTAACTCCTCAAAAGATCTTTACATTTATATTTATTTCCCACTACTAACATTGCATTTTAGCTTTCAGAAAACAAGCCAAGAACTTAACGAAGAAGAAACACTTAAAGATAGGCATATCTATTGTCCCCATAGAAAAGGAAGGATGGGACTATGGCCTCATGCTTAATTCTGTTAAGACCCAATAGCATGGCCTGAGAGAAGGCAGAAAAGCTAAGCTGCTGAGGAGGTCAGAGGAAGTGAGAGTTTGGGGACAGGCTAACCATATATTTTGTCAATGGATCAGTATAGCAAGAAATGGGGCCTTGCTGCCCATCATCTCTACTGAATAAAGAAAATGCTCCTCTACTAAGGTAATAAAATGGGAAAGTAATGCATAAAGTTTTTCATATATACCAGAAGGATGACCTTGTATATTAGTTTTTCATATGAAATTCCGTTTCTCTGTTTATAGCACACTTTAGGTAACAGTATTTAATTTGAAGTTCATCAGGGGAGTCTGCTGCTATACCAGGCACAAAATGTAACTAACTCCTAAATTTCCATTTACATTGACCTTTACATTTAAAGCAGTTTATCCATGGTACCTCCCCAAATCACAAGACCAAAACCACCAAATTCAGGAAAGACCGAAAAGGGATATGCTCTAAATGCTGCTCTACTTGAAAATAAGAACCTTTAAATTACCTATGATACTGAGGTCTTCAGATAATCTTAATGACCAATTATTTTGACATTTATATATAGAAAGGGTTATTATGGCCTTTGGTGTGTCATATAGCAATGCACATAGGAATCTGAAGAATGGCTGCAATAAGTAGGCTCTGATTTGAAATGTTAACTCTGAGCAAGAGAGGCACAATGAAAAAGGAAGCTACTCTTCAAAATAAAATAATATTTGCATTCCCGCATCATCCTAAATACAGACTACCTCTTCACTTGCTGAATCAGCCAAGCTGTGAAGCTGTAAGTGGTTTGCTTTATTATTTAATCTTAGATCCTTTATTTTAATTGCAGCAATATTCAGGCCAGATATTTGGAAGCAAGATATTTCCTCTTGCAAGATCCACAAGTCTGAATCCTGGAGACTCAAAATTAGGCTTACCTTCTGGTTCCTGGTTATACTTCTGGAATTCCCTGTCTTAGTTGCTGGGGCCTGAGTTTGCTGGCTTATAAAACACAGATCAATTCACCCTGTTTTTGGAGCATCCTAAGTACTGTAGAGTAGAAAACTGATTTCACTATTAATTGTGTACTGAAGAATGTATTTTAAAAATCTAAATAAAATTAACCAATAACGTTGAATGAAGTGAGATGAAATTTGTTTAATTTTTGCCTTGATGAGGAGGAAGACTGATTTATCACTTCACTTCTCAAGAATTCCTTCACCTTATTGTACAACTTTGAGAGCTTGTAATTGATAAAGCCTAGTTCTATTTGCTATCAAAGTGGGACAAATCCAGGATATTCTCTTTATTTCGTAACTGCATGTATGACGAAAGCACAGCATTTGTCACTCATATGGAGGCTAACCAGATTTTCCATAGCCATAACCTGTTGCCATTTTTGCTTGTAATCATGGCCAGGAGAGTGGCCCCTACGGCTTGCAGACAAAGCTGCATGACAGTCTGTTACTAACTACAGATGGAAGGATTGGAAAATGGAAGCTGAAATAAAAGGAAGGACTGACCCCAAGCAGGAACAATGGAGTCACTGCCACAGCAACTCAAGCAGGATTCAGTGGATAATTACAAAACAGTTGTTGATTGATTTACTTTTTGGAAGTAGCAAGCCAGAGCTATTTCTAGAAGTAGGTTAAATAATATTTGTTTGTTTCATAGAAATGAAAAATTATCAGGAAGTGATGCAGCTTTTTGAAATTAAATTCTCTTTTTGTTTAAAAGTGGTTTTCTTGAAAGGAAGAAGGAAAGAAAAGAAAGAAAGAAAGAAAGAGAGAGAGAGAGAGAGAAAGAAAGAAAAGAAAGAAAGAAAGAAAGAAAAAGAAAGAAAGAAAGAAAGAAAGAAAGAAAGAAAGAAAGAAAGAAAGAAAAAGAAAGAAAGAAAAAACCTTTCACAAATCTTTACCCTGTAAAAAAAATCCTTCTTGGACTTAATGCAATGTTAGTTTAAAAGAATAGAAATTTTCGGGATAAAGCTGAGTAACAAGTTGGCTTTAGGGGGAAAAACAGTGAGGAGACGTTGAGCTGAATGAAAGGTCAGGAAGTCAGGGAAGACCAGTGTAGAGAAATCGTAGGAACACAAGTACGATTTGTTCCAAAAGAGAATGATGTGGTGAGGTGTGGAGGGGGTGGTGAAAACGACCCGGGACCATTTAAGAACTGAGGAAAGAGTCTGATTTGGGGCAAGGAGCGGGGAAGTTCGTCGATCTCTTACCGCGCGGATCTGCAGCTCCACCACTACCTCCAAAGGCATCGTTCCCTGCGTGGGCGAAAGGACCGGAATGAAGAGATCCTTTTGTGCTGAGCCTTGGACCGACTTTTCTTAGTTTAGCTCAATCTCTGGGGCAAAGGTT